CAATAGTGCTTGTAAACTTACTGATTTCTTTAAAAGCTCCTCAGCTCTCCTTCCAAGTATCCTTATACAATGCTTATCCCATAACACCAATGATAAATTGCCAGTGTCATCCACTACATGGACTTTTAAACGGTATCTAATTTACATTTAGAAAATATAAGTAATTTATAAGTACAAAAATTTATAAGAAAAATATTTATTAAAGTGTTAAAACATGCAAAATATTATATTTACCTCAAAACCACACCTTGGGATTTACACACACCACAAAAGTTCAAACTGTCCTCTGGCAATTTTTTCTTAGGGCATCCCTTACAGGAGCTGTAAAACCAGGAACCTGAGTTTTCTATTCCCGCAATAGAGCAAGAAATCCAAACACGCCCTTGCTGTAAAAAGAGATATGTAGGATGTAATGTTTGATGAGATAATTAAAATTTTCAAAATATGTACTTTACCTATTTCCTTTCAATAACTTCCTCTATCGTTCTGAGCTTGATTGTCATTGGAGTACTTTGAAATGTTATCGTAGAGACACTCAAGGATAGAGACTGATTGGAAATACATCTTGTTGCAATGTATCTGGTTTGCCAATAAGAAACAATTCTAAATAGTTTTTGAAAATTGTTATTTTTTTTCAAAGACCAAAGTATTTTTTAAATTACCTCTCTCTGAAGGTGTTAATCTCTTGAATGTTCTCATCAAACAACATCTTAGAAACATCGTAGTAAGTGGAAGCCTTAATGTTGTCTGGGAAAATGAAAATTGCATAGTCAAATTTTCAGAATTCCAAGTAATTATACAGAATTACTCTTCTACTATATATAAAAAGCTGATGGAAAAATCAGTTCAATTTAGCTCATATCCGACGGTCCAATTTCATTTGCCATCTGCAAATCTAGCTGTCAATTCCTAAGGCCACCGTTCCAACTCCATGTCAAAAACATTTGCGGTTGTGCGCCTTACCCTGTTTCCGTATGAATTCCATCTTCTCCGCCCAGCATCTCTGCATCTCTTCCATCTCTTAGATAATACTCGACACACCCTATCTCGACACCAGTCGTTTGTCGATGAAGGTCTCAACGAGAGGCTCATGCAATCCAGCGATGGCAATTTGATTTGGGAATACAAATCATGGGGATTGAAATCAGGTGGATATCTCACAACACCGTCCGACTTCAATTGGTATCCTGCTCCCCTGACAACAACGGATGCAGATCTTTTAACCGAGAAGCGCGCCTCTGACCCAAACGCCGATAATAAACCCATCGTTGGATGAAGAAGAAGATGGTGGAAAACCTAGCGATAGCAACAACCTTCTCTTAATATTAAGGATACCTTCGGTGTCTAGCATCGGTGTCCAGCATTAGAGAACTCTCTCTAAGTCGATCTTCTTCTTTAAAATTTTGCTTTTCTTATGTTGAGTTTCTTAATTTTTTTAAAGACAATTTACTTCAATTTCGAAATATTGGTTTAAGATCTACGCTGTTTTGGTTGAATATTCATACTGATTTTTGTTCCTTAAAGTAATTAAATAATTACTATTTGTTAAAAATTTGTTTTACAATGAATTTATATGTAAAATATGAACTCTACGGTCTAATCTGTGAGCATTGTGTGCTGAATTTGCTAAAAAAATCTAACCTATGCCACCTAATTCTTCACAATTTTTTATTGTTTGCAATGCTGTTTTTATACCTAGAGTGTATATGCTTGAAACATGAATCAACATTGGTATATTTGCTTAGGAACAACAGTTAGGGTTTGATTTTTGAATTTTAGATGCTGAATTGTTAGAAAATTTGATATGAAATAGTTTTTATTNTTGTATCGAATGTTCAAACAATAGTTTTACAATATATCATTAGCAAAGTTGATTAAATGCTGCTAGGAAATGAATTTTTATGAGGTCAGTATTTATGTGTTTGTTGTGTGATTGGCCTTTTTGATTCTTTAATACTTGCAATTTTATCAATTTTTAAAAAAGAAAAAACATCTCCAAATTCCAAATATCAACTTAAGAAAAACCCCTCGTGTTGTGCGATGAGAAGGTTGAAGAGAAAGTAAAGTTGTTTCTCTGAATTTCAGCAAAATGTTATCCTTTAGGAGTGTTTATGCATCTTCATATGCTGAGATACGAGTAATGTTGTTTGCACCGTCTTAAATTTGTTCACTTTTTTAGTTTGAACATGTAGAGATTTTTGGCAAAATATGATTTGTTACTTCTGTGGTCTCCATGGTGGCTGTTTTTGCGTTCAACTAGAGACAAATCAAAAACGCCTTTCGTAGGTGGGATGTTGCTGCTCATGGTAGAAATACAGTAAGGACAATTGGACTTGCGAGAAAAAAGGTACTTTTTCCCTTCACCTCTTCATCTCCTCAACATGTGAGGTCCAAAATTATTTATATTTTCTGATTTGGAGCAAAAACATCTTGATGCAACAAAACTTACTTCAGTATATTCCACCAATGCATATAGCAATGCTTACTTTTGGAACATGTGATGATGTGCAACCTTTGTTGCAATTGGAAAACATTGACAGGTTTTTAATATTTCCATTCATATATGTTCTTCTATTTTTCAGATGATGTCAAACTTATTTACTATATTTAATTTAAATGTTGTATTTTTAGATTGATTAGGCATAGATTTTTACTCTTTCTAATAGTCTCAAACTTTAAAGATGCTGTGAAATAGCACTGTGCAGTTTGTAACACACTCCATTTTTTTAAATCTAATTTTTAATTTGGGTTTACTTTAGCCTATTTAGCACCTTTTTTTATACATTTTTTAAAAAAAGTATAAGAAAAGATGCTAAAAAAAGTTATAAGCAATGAAAAGTTATTCACCAAGGTGTGGGGTAAGGTATTCCTTAACCTGTCAAGCAGCATTTTTTTCTTTCCTGAAGGACAGTTTTCTGTTTTGTATTAAACATAATTTATGCTCTGTGAATTAACAAGATATTGAATAAAATCTACTTTGTATCAATTAGTTCATAACTTTATAGTGCAAAAGTTAAATTTGTATACAACTCCAATTTCAAGAGTTTAACATTTTGTTGGATCTGTTATTCATGCTTTAGAATTGATGCAGTTTTCAACGCGATTATAATATACTAAGTGATTTTCAATGCTTATCATCGGTCATTTGGAAATTGTAGTTTTATCTTTTAAACATATTACATCCGGCCCCCTTTACTCTGCGGTAGGTGGGAGTCTTTGAGGCATTGGCATAATATTATGTTTTATTATGAGATATTATTGATGTTGAATCACTTTTTGCCAGTCATGATAGATTCAATTAATATCATAATTTTATAGTAGAAATGTCAATGACATATTGTCTATCTTATATTGGCTATTCATGTTACTGAGGTGCCAAAAGTGACTTGAGGAGAAGTAGGAATACACCCTTTGTCCTTTGTTTCTTCCTCCAATGTATGCATCTATTGAAGGAGCAGTAGGAATACACCTTATCTTGATATTGAAGGAACAAAGGACTAGAGGATGATTGAAGGAGTAGTTTTGGTGAAGGCAGATGATTTCTTT